GCTAAAAGCATTCTGCTGTGCACAGTAATTTCTCTTGTCCTGAATACCAAGGTCAAAGTGGAGCTAGGGTAGACCAGAAGGGAGGAAGTGGTAGATTCTCTGCAGCACAGAGGCAACATCATCACACTAAGCCTCCTCCCTGGTAGATGGATGAAGAGCTCTGAAGTCTACCAAAGAGGCTGAAAAACAGTTGCAGAGACTAAAGAAGTCCTTGCTTCTCAGCCATAGCACCGAGATGCAGATATCTATAGATTACTGCCCATACTGCCCACATTATAATGACCACACAGCACCGAGATGCAGATATCTATAGATCACTGCCCATACTGCCCACATTATAATGACCAGACAATCCACGCTCACAGGAAATGTACCATCAGAAGTACACCTAATTAAACAGAAATGTGTGCATGTAGCTTGTATGTCTTACTCTTCTCTCAGCAAGGCTCTGAGATTAAAGGATTTGGATCATCTAGCTTACTTTCCTTTTCAATCTACTCATGGCTCAGAAGTAGAAACAATACACAAACCTAAAAAATGTGTCTTGGCCCACTGGGTGTATGTGCACATCGGTGTGTGGTCCCACTTCTCTCATTGAGACCTACAGGTTTGGTTCCTTTTTCTGGTTCAGCTGGATCCCGAGAGGTGCTGTCACCATATAATCTTATTCACTTGTAGTTACATATGCAATAAAGTGACCACTTAGGTGGTCTTGTTTTTTCCACAATGTCTGCTTCAATATGACTGTCTTTGCTGACAGGTTTGAATTATCTTTCGCATGCTAAATATTTGTACCTCTTTTTTATAAAATATTTTTTTCTCTATACGAGGTACTAACATAAGGCAGATTTCACCATGTGCTTATGCAGCTACCTACCTCAGCGAATGTTCCTATAGACACAATAAAACTTTACAAATTGGTTATATTTCTTTTATTAACTCATTTATCAACAAATATGTTGAAGTGCAAGGAGCCAAGTCCTGTCAAAGCTTCAGTTCTGCCTCAAGAAAAGTATTTTCTATGGAACAGATGAAATTTTCTTCTTTCATGTTACCTATCTCAGGCAGATGAGTCAAGAAAAAAAAAGAAAGGAGGTGGTTATTTGAGTTCAATGCAGAACAGAATAATGAAACGCTCCTGAAAATATAAAGCAAAATCTCTGAACTACTAATAATTATGTTTGAGACCTCACAGAGGATGAGGGTGACTCCAGACAACTATGGAAAGGGAAACATTTCACCTATATATACAGACACACACACATACATATGTGTCTGTATATATGTATATATAAACATATATATACATCAACAAAACAGAGCCCAGAGAGTCACAGAATAACTGTTGATATCCACAAAGATACCAAGCAAATTATTAAGCTATCCTATTATAAGTACCTTGGAGATAATTAAAATGATAACAAACAGCCACTGTGGATTTGTCAAAATCAAATAATGTCAAACTAATATAATTCCTTCTCTTACACAGTAACTGGCTTAGTGGAAATAGGAAAGGAGAACATGTAGCATATTTTGACCTCTGTTAAAACTGTTATGCAGTTCTATCTGACACTGTCTCAACTTAAAAAGGAAAACATCAGTACAGTAAAATCATTGTAATTAAGAACGGGAGCACATATCCAATTAGAAAAATCCATTCTCAAGAAGTAGTTAGCAAACAGGGAAATATTTTGAGATATGTATCATGAAGATATGATGGGTCTACAGTCAATATTTTAATTAATGCCCATGTGGTCAAATAATAAACACACACAAAATTTTGCAGATAACACAAAAGGAAGGAAGCAGACACTGACTGGTAGAAGCAATGGTCAGAAATCAACATGATGAAATACCCTAAAACCAACTGCAAAAAGTACTCCTAGGAAAAACACAAAAACAAAGGTGCAAAAGCAAAATGGAGAATAACTTTCAAACACTGAAGAGAAGGCTTGGGTAATTATGGGAAATTAAAACAAGAATGCAGTGTTGCTGCAAAAGAAGAAAGACTAATTCGAGGTTGTACTCAGAACTGGAAAAAAGAAGACATGGAGGCAATTATTTTAATAAACTTGGCACTGGTGGAGCCTCTGAAAGAATATTGTGTCTAATTTTGGATGTTATATGCATATTTACACACCCACTAAAAATGCATTTGAAGAGGGGCAAGGATGACTCATAAGCTGCTTAGAAAATGCGACCAGTGAAGAAAGACTGAAAGAACTGGGTTTTTCTCTGGACAAGATCAAACTGAAAAGTGCAACAAAATGTCTTCAAAAAGTCTTGCCATAAATTGAAGAGTTGTCTTCAAAGAGACCTGGAAAAGGGGCAAAAAAGAGGAAAGACAAAGATCAATCAAGTTAAAAGATACAGCTACACAGTCGTCTAATTCTTTCTCCTCAGTGCTGGTGAGGCCACACCTGGAGTACTGTCTCCAGTTCTGAGGTCCTCAGTATGAGAGAGACATGGACAGACTGGAGAGAGTCCAATAAAGGGCCACAAACTTGATGAAGGGACTGGAGCATCTCTCCTAGGAAGAAAGGCTGAGAGAGCTGGGACTATTCAGCCTGGAGAAGGCTCAGGGGGATCTTATCAGTGTCTACAAATACCTGAAGGGAAGGTGCAAAGAGGATGGAGCCAGGATCTTTTCAGTGGTGTCCAGTGGCAGGACCAGAGGCAATGGGCACAAACTGAAACACAGGAGGTTCTCTGTGAACATCAGGAAACACTTTTTTTTACTGAGAGGGTTACCGAGCATTGGCACAGATTGCCCAAGGATATTGTGGAGTCTCCATCCTTGCAGAATTCAAAGGCCGTCTGGACACAGTCCTGGGTGACTGGCTCTAGGTGGCCTTGCTTGAGCAGAAGAGTCGGACCAGATAGCCTTCAGAGGTCCCTTCCAACCTCAACCATTTTGTGATTCAGATTCTGTAATGGTAACAATACAAGCTACTGAGGCTGTTTATTTTCCTTCACTGGAGTAAGAAATCAGTGAAACATCAGAATCAGAGCTAGAGATTCAGTGGGTGAACTATAAGCCTCTCCTCTGTGGATTTTTAGCAAAAGACAGAAATAACTTTTATGCCTGTCAGTCCAGCCTGTTGGAAAAAACATACTAATTTCCATTATGGCTGTTCTGATTCTACAGACTGAAAACCATGTTGTACCAGAGCACAGTAACTGCACCACTGATTCCACCATTCTCTGGTTTAAGTAAAATTCCTGATTCAAGGAAGTGTCCCAGCACAGCCACAAACCCCATGAAAAATGCAGCCATACAACTTTGTAATTCATGGGGCAAATTTCCCAAGGAATCCAGCACCTTACATGCACCCAGCTTAGCAAACTGTTTAAAACATGGCATCATGATTATTAACACTGGTGCTGCAATAGCACTTTTTGCCCTATTGAGGGCAGGGGTTTGTAGACACAACAGAGGAGCCCATTCAAATGCATTGCCAAATATACCCAGAATTAAAGAGAACCATTTTTTCCAAAGTAAGGAAGAAAGACATGTTTTAAGTAGGATTCAATAGATTAGACAAAAACATGAACTACAATAAAGCAATACATAACAGTAATCACAATCTAATTGCTCAGGTGCAAAATATATATGTCCAATAAAATCATATGAAGGGAAAAAAATGGAACAGTGAAGCAAGTGTAACTGATGATTCGAAGTTAAATATCAAGATGATAGTAATTCATAAGCTACTAAAACCTTCTTCTTGATTAAATATATTTCATTAGAAAGCCATCAAATCAACTCTGTTTAAACTATGAAAGATGATGCTGTGATAAATAATTTTTGAAAGAAATCCCAATTACCTTGAAAATTCATTTACTTTTATTTGCAAGAATTTGGGATCCATAATTTTAACTTCAGTGTTTCAGTTGCCATAACAACTTTGTACATTTGTTCCTAGTTCATTTATGAGCATATAATTTTTTAATTTGATTGCATCA